CCTCATTAAGTTTTCTGCTAGGCTTTCCACTAACATGTAATAATGAATCCACTTGCTACAAAACACTGCTGCTTCACATTTGAAACAGAATTTTATTATTTCTTCTCAGAAAAATTCCTTTCTTCACCATTTCTAGTGGATTTACTTGCTCTTTGATAAAATGATAATCCTGGAATCATAATTTCCTTATMATAAATTAATGCTGTCATATCATAAATTAATGCTGCAACTAAACAAATGTAGGGTTGCGCTGCAGAAATCCTTTTTAACCATTATGTCTGATCAACTACCACGTTAACTGTAAAAACAGAAAACAAAAATAACTGTAAATACAATGTGTTGAGGTGAATATGAAACTTTTAAAACATTTTGATCTTTAAAATAATCTATCAGAGAACAAGATGTTCTACCTTAATTTTGCAGGTTCAAAAAATGAAATGGTTTGTAATGTAATTAAAAATACAGTATGCAAGGAGATAGAAGTAATTATTAGCCACAATAAAAAAAAAATCCAAAATTCAGACAACAAGTTCTCTGAAGCCTTTCTAAGCAAGACTGTCTTCCACAGATTTAAGAATTTGTAACGGTAAATTTATTATTTCAGATTATTTTGCATTGCTCAGGAACTAATACTTCCCCTACTGAACTACATCTCTACAGTTAATTCTTTGTGTGAAACTATGTGCTTGCATATATGTATGCATCTAYCAAAAAAATTACATATTTAAAGTGCAAAGTTATTTTTACTTTACTTAGTTAAAACAATGGAAAGCTGTTTGAAATGCTATGCTATTTCTTCTTCCATAGTGGAACCTGCCCTACCGTATGAGCTGAAAACCAGATTTTCATTTTTATCTACTTTAAGATTTAAGGTCTAATAAAAATTCATGGCAGAGAAGCAGAGACAAACTACGAGTTGAGTTAAATTCTCCCATATGGTTCATTAAAAGTGAACTATAAGTAGCCCCCCAATTCCTAATTTCTTCAGAAAAGAGCTGTTCTAAAGACGAGTTCATTTCTCTAGCAAAATTCACATTCACTGTCCAGAGGCAAGATTTCTGACCTATCAAAATCTCCTATGAAAAGTATGATGACAGATCAATTTACTACAGTTAGCAACAGATGAACTAATCCAAAGAAATTATATCTAATCTAAATAAATTAAACCTGAAGCCCATTTTGGAACAGACTTTGGCAGAGAAGAACAGGCCATACTTCTTGTGAAAGAATTCTGATAAACTATTCTACTGAACTGATCCAATGTGAAATGCAATGGAGGGAAGGGGTAGGAGAGAGGATACACAGAGAAACCTCACTCAAGATAAGCAAATACACAGTCCTTCAACTCTCATCATATGATATTTAAGTAACAAACTTGTTCTCAATCCTTTTGAAAACAGTTTTCCCCATTTCAGGCATAATGGAAGAGGCACCAACWTTAGCCTAACTTTTGGAGCTTTTGGAGTCCAGAATGACTGAAATTTTAGCCAGAAATATGAAGAGGAAAAGGAAAGACCTAAAATATAAATCTGTAACCCACAGAACTACAAGAAACACAATCTTCAGAATAGTCTTATAACAATTTGAGCAGAGAGGGTGACAAGAGCTCAAATGATTCTAGATGTCCTCATGCACACATACGTATTTGTAGTGGATTTACATCTACATCATTCAACTTGTATTTTCTTTTTTATCTCCAGTAATTAAGTATTTGATTTGTAAAATGCTACATCAGTGCCAGCAGGTACTAAGTGGTATAATAAATACTCTCTTTCACAAAACAAAAGCCATGCACTTAGTGAAGCACGCACAGCTCTTCAGCTAAGTGGAAATCAATATCTTTTTTTTTTTTTTTTTTTTTTTTTTAATAGCTCTGTTCAGTCACTTTAAGAGTGCCAGCTGCCACAGAAAGCCATACAAACTCCAAACCCTGCTCTGTTTACGTTTCTGTTTCATAACTCACTCCAGGAGTGCAAACACATTATTTCTTGCTGAACTATGCAGTATGAAATTTTATTAATGGACCAAGTGAAAAAGATTTGTTAGACTTTCAACTTTAGTAATTCATTTGAATTCAGTTCCATTAGAGAAGCATCAAGTCATTGGTTCTTGMTTTACCACATGACATATAAAGACAGGTTCGTTGCAGCAGCCTGGAAGGGCACTGGCAGTTAGATGCACACTGGCTAGGTTCCTGGGCAGAAGCACCTTGGGAGAAGTGTGTTTCAACAGGATGCCACTTTTGGGATTCAGAACTGCATGGCCCTTAGGGACTGAAGTCAGAGAACTATTGCCAGATGGTGCAACAGCTTTCTTAGGAAATAAAATCTTGTTTTGTTCTAAGACAGCGTGATTTATAGAAGCTGAGGCACCAGATAATGATTCTGTTACCACTTCATTTGGAACCTTGCTGTGCTGATAACTGGGGTCATTCTTCTTCATGACATCTGACCAAGCCCTGTAGCGAAGTTCGGCAGCACCCCAGTAGTGTCTAATAGCAGACTCAGAGCGATGGCYGGTCACGGCCATGATTTCTCTAGGCCCCAGGCCTGCTTCACGCAGCAACTGGATGGTGGTAGTTCGGAGAGAATGATTCGTGTATCGCTGAGAGAGCCTGGCCGCCACGCTTATCCTGGGCATCATGGTCCCTAAGTAGTTCACCCCCATCGGCTCTCTCTTGTACCAGACAGGCTGCTCTTGCATTTGCTCTGATGTTAGCTTTAAAGGATGTAGGTAAAAGGCAGGGGGCTCCGGAGGCAACTTAGACAAATAAAGCTCCAAAGAGAAAATGGGACAGTTGGGGTCCCCTGGCATATCATACATTTTACCCATTTTATGAGGATCTTTGCTATTTTTCCCTTTGCCAGGGTATCTAAACATAGCATATCGGCGCCCGTTCTTGTCCTTCTCAACCACAAAAGCATCTGGAGCCAGATCTCTCAAGATCTCCCTCCCTCGTTTGGCAAAATGCAACTGCAAATCGAACCACACCTTGTTGACGAGTGCAAGGGGGCTGTGCAATCCCAGCACCCCAGACTGTTTAATCTTATGCAAGTCCTCAGCAGCTATAGGAGGATGGTGGTGGGTCTCATCCTTTCCCTGCATGCGCAGCATCTTCAGCACGCTTAAAAACACCGTGTTGGCACTAGCAAACTCTTTGTCCTTCATTAAGCAAACGTGACGATTGTAAGGTGGCATTTTGAGATGCCGGTTTAAGCCAGCACGCATTGATTTGTAGCTTGCCACACTGTAGGTATTTCCATCATGATTCCGTACGGTGTAATAAAACTCTCTCAAAATATCATTGAGTTCACTTACTGGGACCAATTCAAAGCTGGGATCCTTGCCATTTTTGGCCAGCCACTGCTTTAACAGGTTAGCTGCCCAGCCAGTATGCTTGTGGGTGTTTTTGATGCTCTTAGCATCTTCTTCCTCTTCCTCCAAGCCAAAGAGGACATCCTCGGGGAAGTTAAAATTTGTCTGCGGAGCTTCTACTGCTTCTTTTTTTTCTGATGAGGTCTCTTCCTGTTTCAACTGCTTTTCGAAACAATTGATCAAAGTTGTACCATCAAATATGCCACAGGTATACGGCACACAGCAAACTACTTTTTGTTCTGAAAGCTGGGAAGTGCGGAGTAACACGTAGTATTTTGGATTTTACGTCACAAAAAGCAGGTGGCATTAACTGGAGTTTTCAAATGATACAGCATGTCAATTCATACTTCACTAGCCAATTAAAATGCATCAGATCCTTCTTCATTAACCATGGCATTACCCATGCTTTAGCCAATTAGTCTGAGCAAAGCTAAGAACATACACCGTCTCAGAGGACTGAAAACTGGAAAGTGTCATAGGGCCATCTGCCTCCTCCTTGCTCACCTTCCATTGCTACACAGCACTATCGCACACAACCTGGTTTTGAGAAATCTTTTCTGGGTTTCAGGCTCTACCAAATACAAAAGTTTTAAAAATATGCATCTTACAATGAAAAATTAACACTGAAACCATACATCTGTCTGTCATTCCAGTATTGTTTCCCACATATCAAGTATTGATTTTCTTTGTAGCTATAATCCACAGGGATCTACAAAAAAATAAGTTTCCAACAATCATGCTTTATGAAATGCCTTTAAAAATGGGTAGAGTGAGGCACAGCTGAAAATGTGGAATACAGGTTATCTTTGTTTTTATGGYGGATGAAAAACAAAATCTTGACTCAGTGTATTTTCTTTTTCCTTTCAGATACAATTCAAATTTAAATATACCTTGAAACACCATTACACAAAAATTTTAGCTAGAGGAAATTTACCTTATTCCCTTGACAAATGACTTCCAGTTAACATCAATATAAAGCATGAGGTACTCAGTGAAACATCTTAAGGCAAAAAGACAGTGAATTACAAAATAATGTTCAATAGCTTCATTTCTGCCTTTAGATTTGAAAAAAAAGTTCAAAGCATCCYAGACTTGAGGAATTGAGATGTACTACAGATGCTCCTTGATCATCAAGTAGTTATTCCGGAAAAAAAGTGCTTTTTCCTCTTCCTCATCACCCTCCCTCATTACATATGGTAATGAAATATTAGAACTTCAGTGACTTCTAAATGGCTTCTGCAATAGTATGAAGATGAGAGCGCTGCRGTTAATTTTACATTATATTTCTAGCTTTTAGTTCAGACTTTTAAAATAAAAARCTGGGCTGTTTTCCTTTGCATGTCTGCTCTGTTGTACCTGACATGTTTTCAGTGTTTGCCTGGGTTATTAACTCATCTACTTACACAAACCCAGTTGGAAAATTTCTGAAAGATTATCAGAAGTTTATACTACCAGTAACGCTCTGGATAAGAAAAAGAAGAAAAATACAAAAATGGACAGAAATCAAAAAAGATGGCACAAAAAAAAAATCAACATTAATTCATTAGGAGCAATAGAAGTAGGAATCTGCTGTCCTGTGGATTGTAACTTCAGAATTTTATATAGAAACATGACCGACAACCTACCTGTGTTGTTCCCTCAGCTGTTCGCTTGTTTGACGAAGTATCTGTTGGTGGCCTGCTTGCCTGGTTTTCTGAGGGGTCAAGAAATTGTTCACTTGTAATATCTAATCAGTGCTGAATGTTGTTGTCTACTATATGAATTTGAAGGAAACATTTCAAAACCGATCGATACTAAACATTTAATACGTTGTATGTCTAACATTTTTGCAGTCCTGATTTTCAATTACAATAATGTAAACTTCAGGGAGAGTAGCAGTTATAAAAAATGAAAACAGCATTTTTCAGTATAGAAGCACTATATATTTCTTTCCTGCAAAGTCTGACAGAGTATTCCAAATATTTAATGAACAATTCCTTCACTATCTAAAAGACAAAGCAATCTTTCTCCCTCTGTATGTAACTTAACAAGACATTAAATTGAAAAATAGCACAGTTACTCAACACTTTGTTGGCAAAAAATGACTGAGCAAAGGGTGCTTAAACTGACTGTAAAAAAGTGAGGCAAGCTGTGTGTGAACAGATTGTATTTGCTGGCTCTACTAAGCATGTATCTACACTAGCAACTTAAGCTATTTCATAAAAACATTTAGAACCTATTTCTCCCTTTCTACTCCTTTCCATTTTAACCGCAGCTCATCAGCAAAAGCATCAGCCAASAAGTGTTTCAGTTCTGGTCAAAAACTGATGAGTGCACACACTGAGGCTAGACAAACTGCAGACAACCAGATGAGTTTCTGGGTACATAAACTATTCTCTTGCTCACTGTCCCTGATTATGCTAACCCTTTTCATGCTAGACTAAAGCTAGCATGAATGCAAGCTGTATCACTGTCAATTTGACAGAATATAATGTATTTTGACATAAGTAACTTTCTGCTTAAGATAGGGAAGTACAATAAAACTACATCTGATGTCAAATACTGCTTGAGTTAATTTTAACACTGTATCTTGTCAATAGTAAGAAACTCTTTCTGTGATTCCTACTCATGCTGAAATCTTGAGGATCATATAAAAACATCCAAGGTACATAAAATCAAAAGTGCAGAGAAGCATCATGACATGGTCAAAGACAGAAAGTTAACTTAAATATCATATTTAAACCAGTTATTTACTTAACCTAGAAATCATATTTAAACATTCATAGTTTAATTCATTCTCTGTTTTAAATACAACAGATGTACTTCTTCTTTAGAACTAAGTATTCTATGTTCTTTAGTTTTTATTTATTTATTTATTTWTTAACTTYCAAACACTGTGGAAATCAATGAATATGCTTCCTTTCAGTATGCCTTTGCTTAGGAAAAAGATAACTTTGAGAAGTTTTATGAAGGTTATTAATAGATGAATTTGGTTTCTGATTTGATATGAGCAATAATTTGAAGTCAATTCTCAGTAAAATAAAGCTTAGAGCTTTTTAGAACCAAGATTTCCACAGGAGTTGAGTTTTTTGCTTCCTTTTCTCTTCCTTTATCGGTACCAATACTGAAGCACAACTTACCAACTCTGGGTGCTGTAGTGACGGGTGGTTCAGCAGGAACTGTACTGCTAAATGCAGAGAGGGGAATCTTCATCTGTAGGGGAGCTCGGCCGCTGGTAGCATTATAAAGTCCTGAAGTACCCACTGTGGGCAAAGAAGTCCTTGTGGCCTGGGCGACAGCATGTGCAGTTGAAACAGCCTGTACTGCCAAAGTTGTCCCTATTGTCCCAGCACTGGCGGGAGAGTTCCTCTGAATGCCAGGACTGGGCACAGACGGGCTGTTATTTGGTTTGGTTGGGTTAGTTGATGCCAGAGACACAGGAGTTTTTGTAAGGCTACCAACAGTGGTTGGGCTCTGTACAGATATAAATTCAACACTGCCTGACTGCTGGTTGGTGACCAGAGTCCCTGTGTGGCCTTGCAGGAGCTGAGGTTGGGATGACACTGCAACGGGTACATGCAAGATTACTGGTAAAGACTGCAATGAGACAGACATTGTCTGAGTGGTGCCACTGGGCACCTGGCTCGTGCCAACAACTGTAGCTGTGTTAGCTGCTGTAGGAAGAACTGTTGTTGTCAAAGAGCTGGAGGTCACTGGAGTCTGAGGCTTAGGATGTCCACTGATGACTGTCTGAGGAGCGGCAGCAAGACTGGGAGCTGGCACTAAGAAAAACAAAATAAGATGCAAAGAAGTTTTTTTTAAGCATCTGCAATAAGGATTAATTTTTGATACAACACAACAAATGGAAAAGTGTGTTACATTGTTACTATTTTTAAAGGCGGACTATGAGATAACACTTTTGCTTTTGTACAGTGATATTTGATGGTCTAATGAAAGATAAAATTCCTTCTGTTTGAAAGAACTATATACGAATGGCAGAAAAAATATATACAAACTGTGACAAAGATCTGAATTCATATTAATGAGAAAGCTCCATGGTTTAATCAATGAAAACATATACATGTAGCAAGATGGTAGCTAGTTCTTCAAAAAACTCAAATGAAATAAAAGCTAAGTCAGTTATGGCCAACTTTGGTTACTTATGCAGAACCTTTCATCCAGAAGGTTCTACAGATAAGATTGATTTATCAGAAAAGCCATGCAAAAGAATGCAAAAAATACCAAAACAACAACAAAAAACAGGGATGTATAAAAAGATCAGGCATATACTACACGTAGCCATGAATTCCTATTATGGATTCTTCTGTGAAAAAGATTCAATAATCGGTATCAGGTAAACAGCATTTTTTTAAAACAGGGATGACATGGTTATATAAATGTGATATTAATAGACTTGTTCATCCTACTACTTTCCCTATAGAATTCTAAAACAGGAACTCTGTTTTTTCAACCTCACTTCCTTAAGAAATGGGATTTAGGATTTGCATCATCTCCCCACTCAACTTTTATAGCCATTACTGAAGAGAATGTTACTAGCATCCCATAATGTTCCTGTGTAATAAATGGCCCACTGAGCTACGTGTTGCACTTCTCAGCAGTTAAGACCAAGCGGGTTCCACTGACTTATCATGTAAGTCTCTGCAGCAACTTGGCTAGTTTTTACACATATTCTGGTTGGTAAAATAAACATATGCAATTCCTTGTCTAGTGAGCAAAGCAAATAAAGTTTTGTTCAGTTACTTATTTAATGGAAAGTAATAATTTTAAAAATGCATTCATGAAGCCCACGTGACATTTCTTACCTGTATTCACGGGGGTTTGAAACGTTGCTGGTGTGCTCTCGCCTAYATTCCTCTTGGATTCTAACATCTGCCTCACTGTGCCAGTACTGCTAGGAAAATAACATCTAGTTAGCAAAAGATATTGATTCAGTTTGATTTTCAAAAATCCATTTATCCTTTTTTCTTCCTTCTCAATTTATTCAGGATATTCTCCAACTATAATACTATATTATTTATGTGTTATGTCTTCAAGTCTTTGCACAAATTTTGCCTGTGTTATGAGAATTTTCCCTTTTTTTTTCACTTATTCTTCCATTTTCATCCACCATTTCTAGCTACAAAAACATTTCTTACTTTAGAATGCATTCAGTACTGCTCACATATGACTTGGTACAGATGACCAAGGATGGGAAAAGAAGAGCCCTTTCATGAAATAGATAACTAACTAAATATATTTTAAAAAAGGAGAGATCGTATGTTATATTATGTACCATATATCTCCTATTGTAAATTTGAACATGGAATAATTGATGTTTCCCTTACCGATATGTCACATTGTTTGTGCTTGCAGTGTCACCCCCTGCTTTCCCTGGAGATGAAGGTGGGTTTGATGAATTCTACAAGAAAATAAAATATCAAGGAAAAAAAAAAAAAGAAAAGAAAAAGAAAAAAAGAAAAAAAAAAGGTCAAACTGCAAACTTAGATTGCAATTGTATTTCGTGTTCATTCATTTTTGTTTAAGGTACACATTTTCTGGAGCCAAAACTAGAGAACAACTTAAAATGTTTTAAAACCGCCAGCAGCCCACTCAGTACTATCTGCTTTCCTTTCCCATCTCCTTCTTTCTTATGAATCTTGAGCCTTAAGGTTTTTATAGCAAGATAATCAAAACTTCTTTAACTTTTACRGACTTTTACCTTCTACTTCTCCACAGCAATATTTATTCTAGACATATATAGTTCTGTTTGTGTCCTTTCTGGTTTCTATTTCCATCATACAAATAAGAACACAGGAATTTCCTATTTACCCTGCAATCTATTCATGTAGTAGTACATTTATGTGTATAAACTTAAAGAGAATTTCATACTGTTAATGTATAAAGGAATTTATGTGCAAATCAGAATTACACAGAGGTGTTAAAGACTGTATTCATCATGTATTAATGCATTTTAACCAGCTAGCCAAACTCACTGTGTGAACGCTATTAATAACAAGTCACCATTTTTCTGCATACTTTTTTTTTTTATAAAATGTGTTAAAAAAAAAATCTCATCAAAAACCTATAAAGTTGACTTGACACTATTGAAATCAAATTCAGTTCATAGCATAGGCTAGTTTGGAAAAAATAAATAAAAAGAAGTCCCATTCTTACTTCTTGTCTTTTCTTCAAGTCCTCCCTGGCAGCTCCAAACCGCTTTGTCAATCTAGCAATTTTAGCCTAGGTGAGAACATATAAAACAAATAAGAGAAACACTCTCCTCAAGAGCTATTGCAGTAGTAATACAAACTAAAAAGATATATAATTAAGACATCAAGTCAAAAAGTACTTTCATATCAGGAGAAAATATCTCTTCCATGAAAAATACAGTACAGTTGTAACACTGTAGCAACAACAGAAAGAACTACAATCGTATCTTAGAGACAGCCTGAATCATTTTTGTCCTATTCACAATTATACAAGCATAGCCCATTCGGTATCAATTAATGCAACTTGCTACATAGCAAGGTATGTAAGCAATGCCTACATACATAAAACATCATTTTAATGTTGGATAAGGCTTCCTTATTGAACCTCACCCCTGCTTTTGCTCTTCGTATTATCTCCTCTTCCTTCATTAGCTTCCAGTCTCTTTGATACACTGCGTATCATATACGTCTCACTGGCAGCTTTTTCTACACTCTAGTTGATGCTCAGGTGTCAGGTTCATTTATATCTGCTTTTTTATTTCTTGTGTTTTTCAATATACTAATTGCTACTTATTCTAATCCCCCTCCCTCTAGACTGTAGTACTGATGACTGACTGACTTTGGAGACAGTAGCTATGTTGTAAGTACCTTGTTCTAAGAAGGCAGAGCAGACAAGTTTTTTTTTTTTTTACTTTGAATTTCTGTATAATTCTTGAATTAACAGTAAAACACTAAATGCTTTTAATGCTTTTTAGGAGCAAGGAGTTTCACAAACCATGATTCTGGAACATCTGAGCTAAGAGAAGCCAACCCACTTAGAAACTCCAACTCTTTCRCATTTTTAGAAAGCGATGTGACAAGCTACAATTTTAGTCTACCTTTAATGACACATCCTGCAATAATAGTTCAATTTTGGCTATGCTGTACAGCTTAGATATCTTCTGGAGCACCATGCACAATAAAAGCAACTAAGCTTAGGTTGAAGTACACTAAAATCAACACATTCAGTCTTATAGAAAGTTATTAATTTGACACCATGCTTGATGCCTGAAGATTCTGAAACATGTATATTGAAAGTATAAAAGACAGATATTCACGAATAAGTTTTGCAGCAAACTCAGCACTTTTCTTATATTGAAGTGGAAGGTCCTTAATATTTGAACTTGTCGTTGCACAAGCTTAACTATCTTTTCAATAGAAGAATGCAAGAAAGCAAACTGCTTTCAATACAAACCATTTGTTTCCTTATTGAATCACAGCTACTTAGTCACCAGACAAGTTAATGTGGATGATGATTATCAAGTGATATTTATTCGTGTGAATGTTCTACAATGTGTGGTGCTGCTGTCCCATTCCTTTTAATATTCTTCCATTTTTRGATTAGATTTCTGGCCCCAAAGAATAGTTATTTGCACACTCTACATTTATTTGAGGAATAGCRGAGAAAGGTTGAAACATTATTTGCTAAAAAATCAATGGGGTTGCCAGAATGAGGATTTGCCTTTTTTTTTTTTAATTATTAATTGGATTCTCGTATCTCTCTCTTGTCTATCTAGACAGAAGAATTTTACAATTCAAAAGAATCATTTTAACTTTTCTCCCTGGCAAGCCAAGATGGCTTTCCTAATAACATCTAGAAGAGAGTTGCAACTAAATATTGAGGAATTTACTTTTGAGTAAGTCTCTACTATGCAATGCAACGCACAAACAACTTACCTGCAGTTCAGTAAGCACAGTTTTATGCCTTTTGTTACATTCTATTTTCTCTATTCGTGTTTTCAAGTCTGCCAGCGTCTTGTCAAATACAGCACACTGCAAAGCGGCCAGTTTTTCTTCTAACAGTCTATGGATAACCTGCAAAAATATTTCACAAAAGAAAAAATAACATAATTCCCTAATTTGGAAGGCCAGAATACTCTCAACTCTTGAAAAGAACCATGCTGCAGATAAGACTAGGCAAGTTATACCTTGTTAACCAAGTATATTAAGTTGCCAATAAACACATGGTGCACAGCTAGGMAAAGTTTCTGCACCTTGAACTGTGGCATAAATCCTTCTTTGCCATTAATTTATTTCACTGTATCATGATTAAAATATAAAATATTACTAGAGATGCAAAGAATCATAACACCAGAAGGCATTTTCCTAAAGTTGTTTGTTTACACAAATTAACTTTTCCTTCTTATTGCTCCTTTAAGAGTCAGTCATAAAGAACAGAGATTAAAAATGTTCAGCAAAACTTCTTTTTGATATACATTTTTCCCCAAGCCAAAAATAGATGGAATGTTGCTTTTTTTTTTCTTTCAGAAGTTAAAAGGGAAAAAGATCATTTGGATTTCTGTAGTGTTTATTACTTTTTTCTTTTTTTCCTCCTAAAGCAGGACTACCGAAAAACAAAGTTTTCTTCAGACAAGACTAAATAAACAGTAAATATGGTTCATTTTTCTGGCTTGTGTGTTGATGGAGTTACGACATGCACTATTAACTAAGTAATAGAGTAAATACAAACGTTTTCCTTAAGAACATGAGTTTCTTCAGTTGCAGCTGATGCAATCAGATAGACAATTAACAGCTTTATAAAAATCTGCAAAACATCCCATCAATCATATTCTTTTTTGAGAGCAGATTTTCTTTAAAGCTCAGCATATAATAAAATCTGCCACATATAAACCCTTACCACAAAGAAATAGCTCCTTAGCTCAGATTGTTTCATACTCAAAATGGATCACAAGAGTTTAAACATGCTTAATATCTTTTACACATAATTATYGTGCCTCGTTGATGATATTTGGTCCCTTCTTATAAGTAGGTTTTTATGTTAAACCATCATTTTTATCTGGACTTGAATTGTGTCAAAAGTTTAAAACAAAAAGTGGGGGGAGAAGAGAGGTAGAGCATACAAAAGCAAAGATAATTCATTCAGAATTAGAGATGTTAAGAAAAAGGACAAAACTGCTTTTRTCATCTTCATTTTGCATCTCCACTCTACCTTTTGTAATTTTTCATCAACGTCTCTTCTCGCTGTAATTTTTACTTGGAGTTCTGCTTCATAGTCTTCTCCCACGTAGCGGCGGCGTTTGGAATGCACGCTGTCCATATCCTCCGATTTAGAGCGCTTTCTCCTTGACAGCTCACCTGCAACCATTAGAGACCATCACTTGTAAAAATCTTAAAAATCTGTAGAAATTATCCTAAAGTTTTCTTTTGGGTTTTTTATTCTTTTTTTTTTTTGGCCAATTTAGACATTCTTAGTTCAGAAAGAAGAACTTTTTTGGGGGAAAAGTAAGATACAATAGGCACCTTTGAGTTGAGATCTGTATGGGATGGATGGACTAGACAATCCCGAGGGTTCCCTTCCTACCTCAACCATTCTCTGTTTTTAATACCTGCCATCACTGAAATAAAGCATTTTTAACTTTGCATACTTCTTTCTGTGTGTTTCTCCTCTTCTTTTTGAGTCTCTTCTATTTCTTTATCTTCCTTCTCGGTCTCCATTCTTTCTTCCTCCTCCTCTTCTACAAATACAAGAAGAATAAAAACATGTTTTTTATTCATGCTGATCTATAAAGAGTCTCACAGATTCTTATTTTGGGTAGCAAACTTAAAATACCAATCCAAAACGATGCTGGAAAAGGAGAGAGAAATGACTMATACAAGACAGTGGGGATGCAAAGATGAGAAGCCAGAGGAAACCTTCAGAAAAAAAAAAATACATAAACTCCCGTAGACACAGTGGTGACTTAGCAATACCTTTCCCATACTGCTAAGAAGGTTATTGAAAAGGACCCCAGCCTTTATAAAGGTGGATGGCAGAGGATGAAGGCAGCATGCAGAAGTGGGAGAGAGATTTCAAGTAAACACAGAGAAAAACATTTTTCAGCATGTTTAACCCAACTGACCTAACTTGAGCAGAAGGTTAGAATAGGAACTTCTTGATGTCCCTTCCAAACTGAATTATTTTATGATTTGGCCTGATCTCCTGGCTTACTACCAGACAAAAATGTCTATCAAATTATTTCAACATAAAGAAAGATACTGACTTATTTTTAAGTTGAAAAAAAAAAAAAAATCCATACAGGATTTAACATTATAACTGCTGAATCCTGCATCCCTTAACAAACCTTCAAAAGCCTGTCAAAAGTATTCCTGTTTTCTCATTCACAAAATCCAGTGTCTAGAATGTGCAGCAGTTCAGTTTCTATCTGCTACATTAAAGGAGCTTCCTCCTAACATATTCAGCTCCAGTCTGTATGTATTTTAGACCTCCTAAATCTCTTACTGGATAAACAAAATTTACCATCTTCAGCATCTCTAGGATAAAGTACATTTTGCAAATGCAGAAGTACTTTTGCAGGAGCTCTCTGAAAGCCTTCCACTCTCCATTTTGAGGTAAACACCAGAATTTGAAAACCTTCTTTGCTTTCAAGGATTGCAAGAGCTAATTCCCTTACAACACAACCACAAAACTYCATGCTTAGTTGTTTAGCTTCCATCTGCATGTTCTGACTTTCTCTTCAGACGCCACTTTCTAGACAACAAGCCACATAATTTTAATTGTTTAGCATTTTCTTTACTCTTCTCATGTCGTTCTTAGCTGTACTACTAGACCTCAGCCTCTATTAACAAAATAAATAGAGGGGATGAATTTTCACCACTGTAAAGCCTAGCACCAAGGTGCCTAAAACACACTCTAAGTGTTAGCAGAATTAGAGAGAGTGTAGAAGGATGGGAGGGATATAGCCACAGATGCACTAGATAAAACTAGCTGTTCATCTGATCTAGAATCCTGTCTCCAATACCAAACTGCCAACAGCAGATGTCTAGGAAAATAAGGAAGAATAAGGGGGGGGGGGGGGAGTTCCAATAGCCAGAAAAAGATCTCTAAAAACCTTTTTTTTGGGGGGTGGGGAGGGAACAAACAAACAAACAAACACATGCTCTTTAAGAGCCTTTGGAATTTAGCCTTCATAGTTTGGACTGTCCTCAACAAATTTTTCTTCCACGGAAATCCAATCAACTGCAGAGGACACTAAACTCTTGGCAGCCACATTGTTCTACTGCACAGATTTCCAGTGGTTAATCATATATCACATGGAAAACCATCTCTTCTCAAGTGCTCTGATCCTGCTTCTCATGCTATTTGATACTGCYAACTCTTGTAGAGGAACAGACATCAAATATTTATTCCCTGCTCATTTTATCTGTGCCACTTGTGATTTGTAGATCTCTGTCAGAGTCTCCATCTTCTTCAGGCAGAATAATCCTAGTTTATACASCCAATCCCTGTACAGAAGTTTTTTCTCTGATCTACTATAAGGTAGTAAGTGAAGAAGCAGTAGAAGGTGGTGAGCAGACTGTGTGCAAGCAGGATGGACTAATGGKATAAACAGAGACCCTGCAGAGGCAAACGCTCAAGGCCCACAGCACGAGAAAAGGGGTCAACTAGAGACCASGTTCAAAAGCAGCAGTGGAGACTCSCAAAATGGAGGAAGTCACACTGCCATCCAGAGGAGGCCTGTGACCTCTAGCAACAGAATAAAGCCTTCTCTGTCTGTACATCTGTAATGACTAAACAGATGGAGTGCCCAAGGAACTCACACCAGAGGAACACGCTCTGTCAAGGCAGGCAGCAGAGGCAGCTGAAGCCCGCTGCCTGCCTGAAGAGGAGGCTGCACATGGCCACGCAGCAGAAGGCCACATGGTTCCTTAGCGTGCTGAACATAACTTCCTGCACCGGTGATCGATAAGCCAACTAGGAGAGATGCTCTGCTGAGTGTTATTTAAGATTTCTAAGACACACATTTTTCTTTCTCCTGGTTCCCTTCCCTCACCATTTTAGGAAGTTTCTGGAAGATTTTAMTTACACAACCATAGCATCATCACTGAGCAACCTCAGTGGAACACTGGCTTCAACTCTTAAAGAAAATCCGCAAAGCAAAGGCTCAAATTACTCAAGTTAAACTAAAGATCCTACCTTTTCTCCAATTAACAAGTACACATTTACAGGTAGAGATGAGAAATAAGCTTATCTCCCTTTATCTAATTACTTATTTAAAAACTGGAGACTCAGGATGCTTTCCATGTAGTATATTTGATGTTTGCAAACCTAGTTAAACAATAAATACTCACACTGGTGAAATTTAAGAGTACTAGTAAAGATTAAAAGCTCAAAATGGAGTATGTCACCAGCCATTATAATCATCTGAATTTCACATCCTCTAAAATTCATTACTTCATTGCAGTTCTTCAAGGAAAAGACCCCCATAAGCCCACCCAAAGACTTTTATCATCAGTTATTAATTGAGAAACATGTTAAAAGTGTGCTGTTKAAGACATGAATGAACAAAAATCAAGACCTCAATGATAACTATKAACTTAACAAAGCCTTACCTGGAAGACTGGACTTGTTTGTTAGTATCACTTCAGCATCTTCCTCCTTCTCATCACAAGCGTCCTCTTCGTCAGACAACACTAAGAAAGCCTCTTTAGGCAGAYTTTCATTGCTTTCCTGCTTGGAGGGTGAACCCAAGGAGTTGTCCATTTTCTCTTCTAAATCTGTGACTGTGTCATCTACTGGAAGCAGAGAACTTTTCGAAAAACAGCTCAGTTCATCTTCGGCAGCAGGAGCTAGCTTTTCCAGAATTGGTATAATTTCATCTGTTTCCATAGAATCCACATTCTCCAAGATACTTTCTYTCTCACTTGGCTCATCTACGTTTTTTGCAGTGGTGCTTTCTGAAAGATCTGCAGCGTCATCCCCTTCACCCTTCGGTTCCTGGTCAGCTTCCATACTGCTAGAGATGGCCTCTTCTCCAACATCATCTCCAGCAGCCACTTGCTCAGCTTTCTTGTCTTCAACAGGTAAATCAGAACTAACAATTAAGTCATTTGCTTCGCTTTTCCCTTCTGAAGAGTCACTAATATCACAGTTTAGTTTAATTTCACCATTGGATGGGATGTCACTCTTTCTTTGGTCCAAATGATTCTTTGTGTTATTTTTTTCATGTAAATCATTTTTATTGCTAGCARGCCCTCCGTTTTCCGCCTCACAGGCTAAAGCTGTATCATTTGTATCTCGATCTTGCTCAGAAATAACATTCTCTGGAGATAATGTCTGGGCTTTAGAATCTAGTTCATTAACTATGCTCTCTGCCCTGCTTTCAGGACTTTTGACATCCATGATTTCCTCAGATCCCGCTCTTCCTTCTTCRGAATTAACACACAAATCCACTAGACCATTGACATCCCTTTTGTCCTCCACACTATCTGTATTGCTTAAAGGGGAATTTATATTGGAATCTCCATTCTCGTGCTTTCCATTTAATAGTTTAACTTCAGTTGTCTTCCAAAGCTCCTCTTTAACCTTATAGACAGCCTCAAGTTGTTGTCGATCACTTACTCTCATTGTTTTTCGTGCTTTGAAGACTTTTTTCTGAGGTTCATCTGTGCTGTCCATCTTGGACCTTTAAAAAAAAAGAGGATCGTGAAGATAGTTTATTACAAATGTTCCGAAGTATAGCTGTAAACTGCAATAGCACACTTTAAAATAGAAGTTAAATAGTTAAACAATTTGCTTTAAGTGAAGTACTTGACAAAACTTTTTTGTCCTTACCCTAGACTGTTGCAAAAAAACCTCTGAATATGCTGAATAAGTACATTYAGATAAAGATCACTAGGATCATGCTATTATTTTAATTACATAAAGTAATAATACTATGACAAACCATTTTAGACCAATATGTTCCCAGTATTATTATGGCAGAACCACTTATCCTGAGGTTTCTAACGGGAAACAGGTACTAGGCTAAGTCCCAGCACGCTCTCTTCTTCTAAAACAYGCAAGAGACATTCTTGCTTATTAGTAGATACTTACTTTGTTCTTCTAAAGTATTTAAAAATAGTAAGAGTCCTAGAATGAGTGGCAAAATACTCATATCAAGTTGGAAAAACTTTAATAACTTGAAAGAATTTCTGAATTTGTGTCATTGCTGGGATGCATTCTTCCTCTATATAGATTTAAAAAACAAAAACCCACACCTTTCACTCTCCATATCAATACAATGGTCAACCAAAATTTTTAAGCATCTTTCTCTCCAACATGCAAACTTGTCTTCTCCTAGGACAACTATAATGCTCCTATATAAATTGATACTCATATATAAACAAATGAGTATCATATATCATAAATCTTGCAATTTTGTAGCTGAGTTTAACATTTTCCTTTTTCAACAGAAACTTAAATTTCTTGTCCTCCATATGCTTTTATTTATTCCAGTCACTCATGCAAATAATAGAAGTTACAAACAGATGCTTGAAAATTTGCTTTTTAAGCTTACTGAACATAAATTAAGAAATGGAGTTAAAACCAGTTTTACCTAGGAACATGAAATATTTATTAGAATTTTGCTGAAAGAATACAAAGTCCTTTTGTATTCATTTTTATTCAGCTCCTCCTTATACAACAAATAYAATGGCATTGGAATTCCAAAGCTGTTTTATTTTGGGTGATATSAACTCCTTTCAAGACTCAGTTTTAAAAGATCATATATAATAATATCTAGTAAAAAACAAGCAGAATCRCTCTAACCATAAAGACATTCAGAATCTTACTCTACCTTAAATGAAAGCTCTTAAGCCAGATGATGCTAAACAATTTAGCTTTACTGAAGTTACTGTATCACCATAAATTACTTCTATCCAGGATGTGACTTTTATCATATCCATTTTATCATGAACATTTTTAGCTGTGGAAATCAAAGTTGAAAGAGTTTGGAATAGATGAAACTGCAACAGCTATGGAAGATACCAACATCTATTCCAGCTCAAGCTATTACATCACCTTATTTTAGTGTGTATACAGCACTTCATTTTAGTTGCTTACGAGCTGATGAATCACCCACTCATCTCTTCCTAACTTTGGGCAGTGACTTTGGAGAGTGTTTATGTGGAATGGTAGGCAGTCCAAAATGACAGCTCATTTAAAGGCAACACTGTAAATCTGCTATCAAAGTCCATCAACACAAAGGAATTCCTTGAAATCTGAACTATGCTTTACAGCAACAACGGCAAACCTTTTTGGATAGCTGATGTCAAACGTATTTTTAAAAGCACCACTCCTCACTTTAACTGATAACCTGCTCAATCTGTTAGTCATGAGGTTGAGTACTTAGTTGCTGCCCCACTCTAAACCTAACAAGCAACATACTCTAAAAGTGCAGGAAAAGTTATTTCCCACTGCTTGGTGTGGGAATGCACTTTGGTCTCCCTTTGATTGTATGCCAGGATGAGACGCACAATGATCACCATGCTCCTCACTTGCCAGAGTGCACTTTGTGAAGAAGCCATTTTATACCAGATCTCAGTGAATCAGTAGGGAAGTCACAACTGCAGGAGTATAACTGCCCTCAAATTCAGATGAAGCTACAGTTACCCACAGGAACTGAAGAATCACAGAAATCCTGCCTGGCAGAGCACCCTGGCGGTCATCTAATCCAGCTTCCCACTCAAACAGGACCATCAGCAACACTAGATCAGATCATCTGTAATTTTTTTCAGACAAGTCTTAAAAAGAAAATTTATAATAGAGACTCCACAACCTTTGAGTAACCTGTTTCAGTGCTACATTTATCCACCATGTCATTTTTTTTTTCCAAATGCCCAACRTGAACTTGCCATGCTACATACAATTTATGATCATGTTTCTTTACCAACACTACAAGAGCAGTTTGGCTCTAACACTTCTGCAACCGATGTGGCCAACATTAAGCAGCTATTAGATTAATCCACTGCCTTTTCTTTGCCTTCGGTTTCTTCAAATTGGAAGAAGCCAAGCTTCCTCAAACTGCTCTTCATAGGCATGTGCTCTAGCTGCTGATCATTTTGGTAGTCCTCTGCTGGATCCTTACGGATTTCCTCATAAACAAGTAGTTGGGCACATTTTTTTTTTTTAACACTTCTGCATTCCCAAATAGAGCATTCCAAGATACTACAGCCAGTTATATAAAATGGAAGATCAGGATAAATGCTAAACCTTACAATCATGCAGTACTGTTCTTTAGGATCAGTAGGCTTCTATTATACCTAACCAACCTGTGCATGCCAAAATAAATGGGMAAAACATAAAGGTGTATGATTAAAAGATTGCTTTTTATACCTTTGTTTTCTATTTCCAATTAACRTAATATTCAGATTCCCTTATACATTATTTCAGTTCACTTCTGCACAATCTCTAATCCTTCTATTTGAGTAGTCAATGGTGCTTTCATAACACTTCAATTCACACCTCAGCAGTGGATAATGCAAATCTGCACAAAGACTCTGTATCAGCTCTGTTTAGATTCCCATCAGGACCAGCAAGAGTCGAACAAGAGCTTCTGAATGAGACTGTCTATTGTCACTTTGCCACTAGTAGGAGCAAAATATAACACCTGTAAAAACACTGATTTGAAAAGTCATCTTCTCTTTAAAGAAAGGGTTCTCTTGTTGCATAATTATTTCAAGTGAGATGACACATAAACTCCAGATGACTTAATGTATTTCCAAAGCTGTCTAYATGCTAAATGCAGTATCTTCAAACTCCTTCAGAAAGGAATACATTTAATAGTCATTTCAGCCCTGACCTGAAGTCAGCAGAATCACATGAAAACATCTAAATACTTCAGAAGCATGTGTGCACTCTTTGAAAGCACCTTTCTTCCCTAATCCGAAGAGATTAAAACAAAAAGTGAGTTTTTTTTTTTTCCACACCACTGGAAAGGTATTTATCAGACTGTCACATAATGTGACATGATCAGCACATTTAAATTCCACACATAGAATGCCTTAGAAAACATACATCAAAATATCTCTTTTACAGTCAATTTGAAAAGAATTAGAAAATCCCAAGCTTGACTAACCTTGAATAACTCCAAGGASTTGTAACAGGCGATCAGCTTGCAACAAAGCCCTCCATTAAAAGTAATGCTAGAATAAGGGGCCTTWGCATTCTTATTAGAGATGAGTATTTTATCCTCTGACTGCAATATTCTTTCATGAACAGCATTTTAAAGTCCTTATGCTATAAAATTCAAAATCCTATTTTTGCTGTGACCGGAAAGTATTACATCGCTAACGTATCCACAACCCAAAGCTCAAACGAATCACTTTCATAATCTCAGAAYGAAACTTAACAGCAAAGTAAAACTGAAAATACACTTACATGCTCTAATTTCCTCCATAATGTCAATCTTTCATATTTTTAACACAACACAAAATCTAGCAAATGCAGAGTAAATGAAAGATTGTTCCTTTTCAACTTTGTAAGTCGTTTACAAACAAACATAAGAATACCTTTTGTATATTCATGCATATTTACTCTTCTCTTATAGCAGAAAAAAAAAAAACGAATCAATTGTTTCTAATATATTTCAAAGTGATGTTTACTTTTTAATCTGGTATCATCCAAKATCTAGTTTAAAAACAAAGGTCTAATACAATGAACTCATAAAGAAAAAAAGCTCCTTATGAAATTCTATTGTTAAATTGTTTTTCAAGTAGCATATATGCATATTTTCACCCCACTCATGCAAATCATCTTTTGCAAACAAAGAACATCCAATAAAAGCTACTATAAATGATAAAATCACAAGCCTGGAAGAAGGTAAAAAGATGAAAATGAAACACTGGTTAGAAGTTAAATATCATATATCACTGCRGACAAGACTTAAGGCATTTAACTTCCAGCCATACCCACAAGGGAGCACACTGCAGCCAAGTAACAGATCTCATGTAAGAGCAGAGTAAAAGCAGAAACAAATAAATCACGAACCAGTTCAGGCAGGTTTAGTCRTAGCAGTGCAAGCCAATCACCAGCCATTTTATAATCCCTGCCTCCCATCCTTACAAAGGGCTGAGGAGGCAGCCTCGCCGAGCGCAGTTCTAGAGCGGGTTGCGCTTACTAGAGTCTCGCACAAATTAAGCATTTAAAAGACACCTTTAGTTTTAAAGTAATTCACCTAAATAGGCTCCTTACATATTTAGGGAACAACACAGAGTGTGCCTACATTGGTTATAAGCTTCCCTCATATGAAGCTCGGGCATTTTCCACAGTTTTTACATACTACGCGGCCAACTTGCAAAAAGGAAACACGTAGCAGGAGTGCCAGGCCAACTAAAGGACACCTTTTATTTCACAGAAAGACACTGATATGCTCCGTTACAAAATGATTCYTGCCTATACAATGTGTACAAGCATTATATTCAGTGAATAAGATRGCAGACTTCTTTAAAAAAATAAAGTTTACTGAAATGATCATCAATTTTGAAACACCAACACACACAAACATTGTGTATTTTTTTTTAAATAGCACTTAGGATAATTTCCTTCTCCTTTTTCATTTTAAGCTTGAAAACGATATATACTTCAGCATGAGAGAGAAACACACCTTCAGGAGCCTTTCAGTTGTAATTGTGGGTTTCCTTCTCA